TTCCTGACCTATCTTAAGGTAGGCCAACCTAGGTATCCCATGGGTATCCCTTCAACCGTTCCTATAGGGATATATGAAGTCAGTCAAGGCAAAGCTAGCCGAGAATGGGGCCTCTGAAGAGGAGGTCGCCGCATTCGAAAAGGGTGCCTCAGGTTATGCCAAAAAGATCGTCGCCAATTTCAAAGATTACGAATTTGTAGGTCAATTTTCTCCCTTAAGAATGTTCATTAACGCATGGCAATTAGTACACTGGGGAAGGCATGAATCCAGAGGGTATGGTCGCTCTCCTCAACTACCGTGAAGACGGTATCACGCCTTATTTCACGTAAGCTGATGCAATTGTACGTTATATCGACTAATTTGGTACCGTTACAGATTCTGGAAACACGGCTTGAAGGAGATCAAGCTCTAAAGTGGTCGTCTTTCTTGCTCTGGAGGAATGGGGGTCCTCGCTAGAATGGCAACACGTCCTTGTCTATTTGTAGCCAATGTCAAAAGAACTGGGGATCATGTATTCTAGAAATCGATTAAAAGAGCATCTGCCATTTCTCCTGCTGCAATTCGCTCAGGACCGCCCTCCTCTTTTGCAGGAATAGCCACGAGACCATTGGCACCGTTGAGACTTGTCGCACGACTTGACCTTTGGCCTCCAGTTGAATATGCAACAAGCATACCTTGAGAGTCCACTTGTATTCGCACTCGATGGAACTCAGGACGAGGATCAAGCAGCATAGTATCGGCCAACTGGAATATCATTAGACAAAGTAATATCTCGTATATCGATGTACTTACCTTGACTTTAACACGCTGTAAAAAGGCTTTGTTCTTGGGATACCCACCGAGTAGCCTCAAAGCGGGCAATACAAAGAGGTAGAAACTAGATCATTGGTCAATTCAGCTATTAATCATAAAGAAGATAACTTGCGTGACTAAAGCAGATGCAGGGTTGCCTGGTAGACCAAACAACGGTTTCCATGAATCCTTTTCGTGTGGTAACTGGGCAAACACAGTGGGCTTTCCTGGTTTGACTTTGACTCTTCCAAAGACGATCTTTCCTTTTAATCTCTGTTCAATGACAGGTTTCAGGACATCTGTTGTGCCCATAGAGCTGCCCCCAGTAGTCAATATAATGTCGGCATTCTCCAGCCCTTTCTTCAAAGCTTGCTCATGTGCGGCCATACTGAGTTTATGAGTTCTTCATATTAGTTGGCATTGAGTTAATACTAACCTATCTTTTATGATACCAAGGTCAATGACCGAATAGCCCATGGCTTCCAGGACACCCTTTAGGGTAGGACGGTTTGTGTCCCAGCCGGACCATTTCGCGCCTTCGTCATTGCTTTGCGCATGCAGGTCCAAAAGTTCATTTCCTGTACTCAGTATGGCGACTGTAGGCTTCTTCACAACTAGAATCTACCGAGACTCAGCGGCCTCTCTTTCGTTCTAGAATCATCGTACCTCTCTTTGCCCAACAAATGCGAGCGCTCCGATATCACCTCCAGTATTACCAATGATATCCCCCTTTTCAAAAATCTTCTCCCCTTTACGCAAATCAGAGCCTGCTTGTCGAACATTTTCTCCTGGATCAATTGTAGCCATCGTCTCAACTTGCCTCTCTTCGTCTGCTTCATTGTCATCCCTTTCATCGGGTCCTACCTTTGATACTAGGCGGGTATCTTCCACCATGATGACTGCATTTGTCCCCGTTGGTAGAGGTGCACCAGTATTGATACGGTATATATAACCTTCTGGTAAAGGCTTGTCTATATCATGGCTTCCCGCATGAAGGACATTGTACATTCCTGCTACTTGAGAGGCTGATCCACGCATCAATACCAATATGATAGAGAATGTAGAGTACGAACCTTGAAGTGCATAACCATCCACATTCGACGAAGCAAGTATAGGTATATTCTTATCACCATGAATTGGTTCTGCTATAACTGTTCCTCGTAGAGACGATTCGACCTTGCTGAGCACAGGTGGAAGCGGGGACAGATGGGTGGCGATGAGATCTAAGGCTTCATCCAAGGAAATGATAGGATATAATGACTTCCTTGGGCGCGCAGAAACTGGGATATTGAATATACTTTCTGCTACATCACACTTACTTACCTGAAGATTTGTCATGGTCATCTTGCGTTCTGGCCTTAGGACCATGATCATGCCCACAACCTGAGTGAAGTTCGCGCGGCAGATGTGTAGATAAAGTTCCTTCGCCTGCATGTTGTGACTGTTCATGAAGGGCTCTGCTGTTTGCCCCTCGAAGTAGGCTCAATGCATGATCGAGAGTATCACCTTGTGTCAAGGCACCCAAACACTCCTTGACTGCTTTGAGGCTACCAGGTAGTGTGATTATGAGCGTCTTTCCCCTCACGCCACTGACTGGCCTTGAGAGTACCGCACGAGGGGATGTAGACAAGATCAACTGTACAAAGCCTGGAGCATGGCGCTCGATGAGTGGCAATATAGCCTACAATATCCGGGATGAGGGTCACGTTGAATGATTATGCTTGAATAGTTTACCTCGGGAGTGACATCGCGCTGTCCGAACCCCGTTCCACCAGTGGTCAAGATGAGATCGATGTCACCCTTTCCAGTCCAATCGAGTATGGCACTTGCGATGGCATCCTTATCATCTGGCACAATAAGAGTCTTGGTAACGGAGTATCTCCCCAATTGATACAGGGCTTGAGATAAATGAGGGCCACTTTTGTCTTGTGTGGCATCGGCGGACGCGGTATCGCTGACTTGTGTTTAGTTTCAGTCATGAGAAGAACAAACACATCAAGAAGAGGTGATTTAACGCAACCAGTAAGTAATGCCACTTGGTAAGACATGTGACAGGTGCCAAGCTTCGTTTATGTACATGAGTGGTGAATTGCTTCAAAACAAGACCCTTAACCAAATCACTATTCTTTATACGGATAATCAAACTTGGCTTCCTTACGTCTCCAGAGCTTCCGTCTGTATCACACTTCATCAGCATTGATACATTTCAAGGCCATCGACTTACTTTCTCTTGGTCGTGACATGCTCAACGAAAACCTCCACACAGTACTTAGCTTTGAATTCACGGATAAAGCGAGGGTCCCTGTTGTAGTCCCATATATCAGCAACAAAGGAATGTCAGACCTTGCATTAAACTCACCAAAGTTCACTTGCGATTCCCAAGTCCTTGCAACAGCGCATTAGAGCATTGCTCTTGCATGATTCTGATGCAGTGGCAACGCCGGATGGGTCAAAGTACTCCTGCTCGCCACGGGCGACTGCAACAAGTCTAATTCGGGACCCATGGATCAGTTCACAAGTTTAGGGAAAGCTACTGACATACCTTCCGAGACACACCAGTGCATATTCACGGCTCACGACTTTTGCACTAGCATTTGTTCCTCCTCGAGGGGCTAAACCCCATCCACCAGGCCCAAAGGCTCGGTTAAGAATGCGTCGATATTTAATCTCCGGGAGGTAAATCATGCCGTCTGATTATGGGTAAGTAAATGTTGAACGACGTCTAACCTGAGCCTGACCAGGTTTTATCTCAATGTCGGCGGGATCAATAGGGGCCAACAAGATATCGGAAATTTCCTTTGGGAACGGAGAAGCTGAGAGTCCTTGAAAGCTGCGCGACCAGTCAGTCCCAGACTCGTCACTTGCAGTTGGGAGGGGATTCGAGTCTCCAAAAGGGTCGACAGGGGTACTTTCTTGAGGTTTAGCGGGAGGAACTTCCGCGTCTATGTCGAATTCCTCAGCAGTCGTCGAAGCCGCTCGTTGTCGTATGTTGCATGATAGTGGTTGCGTGTTGCGCAAGAGTCGGGTGGCTGATACAGATGTAAAAGCTCTATTTTGACCAATAACATGTGTTCGAGTAGTCAAACTCCGGGCGGCATTGGAGTTGAGGCGCAGCAACGCACGGCACGCCATGGAGAGGAGCAAGTTGACTTCCACCCTTGGGTAACGAAATTTCAGGAGCGGTCCCTTAGGCTCTAAGAGCCAGAGATTAAATCGAAAATTTCTCTGCAAGCTCTTTGCGGTGGATATCTGCGAAATACGTTTCGCCACTTCCTATTTGTCGTTCCGGAAGGTTGGCCCAAACCTTCCAGCAACTGCTTCGAACTGTGACCAAAATTCACACGCACTCGCCTCTAAACCTTTCATCAACCCCTGTATAAACGACCTTATTAGCTCTCAGACTGCAAACTTAGTGCAGGGCAAATGTCACAATGGGTGGCAACGCAAACCTCAGATTCAAGCAGAGGGCCCACGGCTGCTGAACTTCTTATGAACGTAAAAGAATTGATTGATCAGCCCCAGTTTAGTGGGAAAGTACAAAGTCGAGTTCCGTTAGGCGAAGAAACCAAGCAGTACACAGAAATAATCATCTCTCTGTCTGACATGCTCAGTCAGTTCCCAAAGCCAAATGTGCCCTCCAATAAGAAGGAAATGGACCTTGCTATCTCGTTGGCCAGCCTTTCTTTGGAAGCCATGGAACAAATCAGCAAACGGATGGAAGGTGTTCTAGTGGGCCAGGAGTCGAACCTAACATCGAAGCTCCTGGGCTGTCTTGCAATCGTGGATGACTGGGATCAGAAGCCAGAAGTTGATCTCAATAAGCTTCAAGAGTTGCGGCAACATACTTCACAGGTGGTAGCGGCAAGTCTTAGTCATCGCCTGGAAGAATCATTCGTAACAGAAAGAAACCTTGGCGACCCTTTTCAAGTTGTTGAAGAGTGCATGCAGGAAATCATGACTACAATACATGGTAAGGCCCATTGCAGCTATATATCACAGTTCCTAACCTGAGTTGGATAGAGATCACACAACTAAACATCTCAAACTACCCCGTCAAGTTGATACCGTTTGATTCCAGCTTAAACAAGATCTCTTTATCTGTGAGAGCAGGTCGTTTGATCTCCAAGGCTTACTAATACCTATTGCTAGACCCAGGCTGGAAGACCAATTCAAATCAACTCTTCTCATCATGCCCATATATACGCAATTACTTTATTACAGACCTTGACCATGACTTTCCAAGTCATCAAAGGGGTTCCATTCATCTTCACAGAAAGGTTCTATAAAACACACTTAATGGCTAGTGATCTTCTCGGCACCTTGACCAAGACATCCGATACCTCTATTCGTTCTTCGATTTCCCGTCTGCTTGGTGTCATGCAATCCTTGCTCCAAATCTCGCGAATGCATGCCAAGCTCATCCAGCCTTCTTTGATGCGCCTCTTAACATTGCGACTTCATATGGGGCCGGATACGCCTTGGGCTGATGTAGATAAGCAATTATCGGACTTGTTGGTATCAACTGTCGACATCTCGATTCTAGCCGAAAGTAATGCCAAGGAAATTGCCATCTCCCTTATTACTCAATCCTCACCAACATCAGAACTACAGGTCGGTTCGATTACTGCCAATGATCAATACTCTAACCCATAGCCCAGTCAGTTGCTTATATTTATTTATCCCATTGTGCCAAAAACTGTTTCAACGTAAAAGAATTGATTGATCAGCCCCAGTTTAGTGGGAAAGTACAAAGTCGAGTTCCGTTAGGCG